GGGCGTTGTGAGCCTACTCGACCGTAAGACAGAATGACGTGCCGATGGCCAAGTTAGCTGGTGAAGTGGTTACAAGTTCCAACAATACCTGGCAAACCTCCGGGTTGAGCGAAGGGAGGGTTGGTGCCCGGTCCGATGTTCAATCTATTGTTACCCCCGCGGAATCGACCACAACCACAACCACAACCACAACCACAACCACAACCACAACCACAACCACAACAACAACAACAACTGCTTTCTGACCTCTGCTGGTGGCCAACAGGCAGTGGTCAACTTACAAGCATGAAGAATAATGAAAGGCAGAGGTTATGATTGGTTTGTTATGGGATTCCTTTTCTCTTCTTGTTTTTTTTTCTTTCCTTCGTTCTACACGAACCAAGTGTTTCCCTGCCGAGGACCATGGAACCTCCCCTAAGAATAGGCGGGTATGGGGCGCGGGCGCGGGCGCGGGCGATAAGGTGCGGGTTGGGAAGTTGAGGACGGACGGACGGGAGTGGAAGACCGAGAATCAGTTTAATCAGTTTAAACGACTTGAGGAACAGCGAGAGTTCATTGTTTCAGGTTTGGGCCCCTTGACAAATCACCCGCCGGCGGCGTGTTTGAGAATGATCCCGCAGTGGACAGTGGACAGTGGACAGTGAACGAACGACGAAGAGGAAGAGAAGACGCATGTCGGAAGGTGCCCATCGTCCCCGACCGATCGGCCTAAACAACCCGCTGTGCGCTCTCGCCCTCAGCCCAGATCCATTAAACCCATCCATGAATTCTCCCAGTCTCTACTCCGTATCTATGAAAACTTCCCCTCTCCTCCCCCTCAACACCAAAGGAGATAGATACCCAGAGACACAACCAGAGAGACACAGAGACAGAAAACTACCACAGGCGAGGTGGCTGTCTTGTTTTCAAACTTGTCTTGTCTGCCTATCTCGCCCCATCAAAGCCTCCTCCCCCCTCCCCTTTTCCATCTATTCCTTTCTCCGTCTTGTTCCCATTCCCACCCTCCCCTCCCAGCCGTTTCAGCCTTCGATCCAGCGGCTATAACTGCTGCCAATCTTCCACCCCCACGTCTAGCCTCGACGCTTGGACTGGTCCTTTGTTGGACCATTCTTTCTCTCCTTCTTCTTTTGACTGAACAGTGATTTGCCATCAAGAGCAAGAGAATCCTAGCCTGCAGGACATCTCACCTGGTGTGAGCGAGCGGAGAGCCCAAGTGAGCCTAGGCCGGGCAGATCACGAAGCCACTGCCTATAGTGCTAATCTGCTGCCAAACATCCCCCGTGCTCTTCGATCGGTTGAACTGTAAGTCCAGTACTCTAATTAGTATCTTCTCCTCCTCGACCGCTTGTCGCATCGTGCATCACTCCTCTATCGCCATCCCCCCCACCTCTGCGCTAACTCCGCTAACATGCACTATCACAACCAGATATCAAATTCGTACAATGCATTAGACCCCACACAAAATCTCAGTCGAGATCTCAACTCACAGTCGCCGTTTGGGAGATATCGTTCAGCTTGTACCCCGCGACCACACCCGACCTCTACGCTCAGGTTATCTATCGACCGTGGGCTCAGACCTATCTCCGAATCTCTGACCCGACAAAACAACATCGAAGCGATTTTGCCGTTCACCTGTGCTCGAGCAAAGTCGCCAACATGCTGGCAAAGGCCACATACAACCCGTTGGGCCTGCAATCCACGCAAACACCAACGACTTCTTATTACACTGGCTCGTTGCAGAAGGCTGGTGGTCATGGTGATCCCCAGGGTGGCATGTTGTTTACCAGTCCGACGGAGTCAGAATTTTCGGATCCGCCCGACGGCCTTGACGCTGTACGGTGAGTCGCTCATGTAAACGTGCCCGTTTCATGGTCGAGCAAACGCTCATTGGTACTAGGTCATGGGATGAGAAGCAGGTGGTTGCCTGGCTTCATAGCATAAATTGTGGGCAATATGAAGCTCTGTTCAAAGGTACATACACCTGCAGCAATCCACCCCTCATGGTATTATCCAGATTCTTGCAGACTAACAAGCCATAGCGAACAATGTTAACGGTAACAATTTAATCGAATGTGATCAAAAAATACTTCAAGAAATGGGCATCAAGAAAATCGGTGACCGCGTCCGCATCTTCGTCGCCATCAAGCAACTGAGGAATAAGTCAGTCCTCAACCGAAAGCAAAGAACGATGGTAAGTTTGACACTATGCTGTCTGACATCTCCCGTGCTGATCTGATTACAGAATCAATTGGCGGCGCTGGAATCCGTATCTTACACAGCTCCCTCATCCGGGACATCACGCCAATCCAATCAGCGACCAACAACGAGTACACGCCGCATGTCTCGAGCCGCTGAAAGTAGCTCTCATAGTTACTCCGCCGGCCGGTCATCGTCGCGACCCGGATCGCCTTTGCGTGCTCAACAGTATGTCGCAAGCAGTCCATTGGAAACCGGGCGGAAGGAGCAGGGTCCAGGGTACTTTAGCCATCCCTCATCTGCCGGGTCGATGACCAGCCGAAAGCCAAGCACTCCCAGCGAAAATGGTCACAACAATCGAAATGGCTCGCATTTGAGACAGAACCCTAGCCTCGATGGCTTGACGATGGGACAGTTGCCGACGAACTCGCCCGTCATCAGAGTGATATACACTGGTGGTCAGACCAAAGTGCTTGACATCAAACATTGCAAAACAGCAGATGAGATCATCCTGTGCGTTCTGAAGAAACTACAGCTTCCGGAGCATCAGTATCGCAATTATTGCTTCTATGTGATGGATGGCCTAGAACCTGATCCCTCCAACTGCAGAAGACTTGCGGACCATGAGCTCATGGAAATCTGCGAAAGCAGTCACAGGCCGGAGCGCGGCCGTCTTATTCTTCGCAAGATCCATGCTGGAGAACCAGATACGGATGAGCTCCGTCGGGCTTCTCAGTTCGCGGTAGATGAAAGTCAGGTTGCTCACATGAACGCCTTGAGCAGTTCGAATGTGCGCAACCAACTCAAAATTCAGCAGTTGACTGGTGAGTCTTGGCTTAACATCAGACAGCCGATGTCTCCTGTCTCGTCTCGACAGAATTTGACACCGAGTGAGCATGAAGTGCGGTCCGTCAACATGGAACGCCCTTCTCCTTCTGCTGCCAAGTTGCGGTCGTTCTTCGGTGCTCGACCTCCAAGTGAGATGATTATCCACGAGATTACATCGTACTTCCCAAGTCATCACCGGGAGGATATTGAGAAGACGATGCGTATGTCTGTCCGGAGGTCGCAGCGCTTGAGCCGTGCAGCAAGTCGCCTTAGTGTTGTCAGCAATACTAGCTATGCGTCTAGTCTGAGGGACGCGCCGCCAATGCCAAGCATAGCAGATACCTGGCTCAACGCCGGAGGAACACCGACCCGTGCATCGAGACCTCTCTCCGTGTCCAAATTCAGTCTCCCGTCAACGACCTACAGAGATTCCATCGCCTCCAGCTCCTTACAACCACTACAAGAAGAGTCGCCAATCGAGCCGAATCGCAAATCATATGTTTCGTTCGATAGTGGTTCTGATGATCCTACAACCTCCCGTCAGAGTCTTCTCGATGAGAATGCAAGTGTCGCTGCAACTGACGGCGGCTCGCTCAATGAACGATTGAGTATCCTTGTGGCTGAAGATGGGGAAGAGGAGGATGATGGTCTCAACGACTTCTTGGCAGGAAACAATTTCGCCCCGAAGAACTGGATGAAAGGTTCTTTGATTGGAGAGGGCTCTTTCGGCAGCGTGTTCCTCGCACTACACGCGATCACTGGAGAGCTCATGGCCGTCAAGCAAGTCGAGATTCCCTCTGCGACCAAGGGGACGGAGTTCGACAAGCGCAAGAACAGCATGGTCACCGCGCTTAAGCACGAGATTGAACTTCTGCAAGGAATGCACCATCCCAACATCGTGCAGTATTTGGGTACCGCTGCTGACGACCAGTATCTGAATATTTTCTTGGAATATGTGCCAGGAGGATCTATTGCCACCATGTTGAAGCAGTACAACACCTTCCAGGAACCTCTGATCAAGAATTTTGTTCGACAGATCTTGGCGGGGTTGTCATATCTCCACAGCTGTGACATCATTCATCGTGATATCAAGGGCGCCAACATCCTTGTAGATAACAAGGGAGGCATCAAAATCTCTGATTTTGGTATCTCGAAACGGGTGGAAGCATCGACTCTTCTTGGTGCTCGTGCCAGTGGCACCGGTGGGGGTCACCTGCACCGCCCCTCACTTCAGGGCAGTGTCTACTGGATGGCACCGGAAGTGGTTCGTCAGACGGCACACACGAAGAAGGCCGACATCTGGAGTCTGGGCTGTCTAGTGGTGGAGATGTTTATCGGGGCCCATCCCTTCCCCGACTGTAGTCAGTTGCAAGCCATCTTCGCTATTGGCAGCAATAAAGCCCGACCGCCGGCCCCTGAGCATGCCAGCCCGGAGGCCGTGGATTTCCTGGACCAGACATTCCAAGTCGACTACGAACAGAGGCCGTCAGCGGACGAATTACTGACCTGCCCTTTCTTGAAGACTCCTCTTGCCGGATAGTGTCCTGTCGGTCCTATGGACGACGGCTCCTTTGCTCTTCGGATTTTTCTTTCCTATATTGTTATTGGTTGGCTTTGATATTTCAATACCCCTTTGTTTTGCGTGGCCATCGTCTACTTGTTTAGTTCCATGGTTGGGTTTATTGCACTCTCTTTGACTTCTGGTGTTTGCATTTGCATCTTGCTTGTGGCCCACTCGGCCAGGACGAGCATGTTAACGACCGTCGATTCTCTGGACACGGCAAAAGTGATCTACATGGCGTGTACAAAAGCATTCGGCATGTTCTACCGAGGAATAGGTTCCTACTGGTTCCTTGTAATTAATGTCATGGCCTCTTGGAATGTGAGGAAGTCTAGTCAATTTGCGCCGGAGAGAAAGCACCTTACGAAAGGGTAATCCCGCATTGAAAAAGTAGACTATGTTTTACTTTGTGTGTGGAATACAACAAACATCGGCTTGCAGAGGGTAAAGTACACACAATCAAGGCACAATCGAAAGCGATAGCGTATTTTACATAAAGAATCTAACAACACCAGAGACATACCCTCCATGTTACATGTTCAATGCCAGCCAGAAACAACCAAAATGGGGAAAAGTACCAAGACCAAAAAGAATCCACTCTACAAAGTAACAACCTTGGAATCGCGATCATCTCGCCGCGCCTTGAATGAGTGAGCGAGGATGAAGCGCACTTCTATCTACTGGGACGCCGACATTTCAATGAATAATCTTGCCATAGAAGGGGATACCGAGAGCGCTAAGCAAAAGGCGGGCATCCTTGTCGGTTCTGGCGGAGGTGTGGATGGTGATGTGGCAACCGGGGATCATCTTGGGAGGGTACCTGGTGTTTCGAGATGTGTTAGCTAGCTTAGTCACCACGCACACGCACGTCATAAGCTTCAATGATTGCTGGGAAGGCTACTGAAAGGTGAGGGGGGCGGGGGGAGGGGGGAAGGGGACGCTGCTTTTGGAACAAAGGCAAAGACACGTACATATCATAGTTGATCTCGATCTCCGGGAACAGAGCGACATGCTCGGGGTCGAGACCGAAGGTGATGTTGCCGCTGCTGTCACCGCTGCTGCCCTTGACACCCTGCCAGTCTTTGATGCGGGGCAGGACGATGTCGACCAGCTTGCCGAAGAAGTGCATCATGTTCTCGCCGTACAGGTCGGCCGTGCAGGCGACGGTGTCGCGGCCGGGGATGATCCCCCACTTCTGGACGCTGGTCCGGGACTTGAAGGTCTGCACGCGCACGTTGGAGATGGCCTGCACGGCGATACCGGCGGCGTGCAGCCAGGACGAGTTCTCCGTCGCCATGTTGACGTAGCTGTGGATGGTGATGCGCTCGAGGCGCGGGATGTTGTTAAAGTCGATGGGCTTGCGGAGCAGGCGCAGCACGTCCCCACCGCGGGGGCCCCGGAGGCTGCGGTTCTTGTGGTAGGGCGAGCTGTCGTCCCAGCTGCGGAGACGGGGCGCCTTGACGGGCGGCTTGAAGCCCGGCGGGTTGTGGACATAGAGGAGGGTGAGGATGTCCGAGGCGACGGTCGATTGCCAGGTCTGCTCGACTCGGGGAAGGGAGAATGGGCCGGGCACGTACAGTCGGGAGGAAGGGTCGGAGGGCGGAGGCGGCTGGTGAGGGTGGAGCGGACCACGGTAGTATTTGGGGGACCGGAATTGGTAACTGGTGAAGTGGGCAATTGGATTAGCATTATGGTTATGGTATCGTGAAGACAAATGAGGAGAACAGGCAAGAAAAGGCACTGGGAGCAACGAATCGTGTGGTCCGCAAGGAATAGTGATGGAGGAAGAGGCGCGGACAAGGGAGAGACCTACCGACTCCGGGGTAGTTTGGTCTTGCGACCTCTGGCTCTGGCGATGGGATCATAAGATTGCACCAGTTCGCTGGGTGCATTTGTGGAGGCGAGGTCGGTGGATTCCAGCTCGCTCAGTTCGGCGGAGGGAGATCTCGACGATGCTTGGTCGGAGACATTGCGGCGCCAGCACAAGGTCTGAGGACGAGCAGAAGGCGCCAACGCCCGTGGCAATGACCTTGCCAAGTATCTGGAGGACTCACTGGCAGCCATTGTGAACTCCTACTCCTTGGAGGGGGGGGATGGTGGTTGTAGGCTGAGATTGGAGTCGAGACTGAGATCTCCAAAAATTGTTTTTCCCGCACCGGAGATGCATCGACGACTCTTTCGGGGGTGATTGATCAGGTGACATTGGTTCCTGCTGGGTTGCCTGAACACCTTAGAGACCAGGCTGCGAGATCAGTTCTCCACTTGTGTGATCAGTGATCACGGCTCGCCTTTCAACCCCGCCTACTTCACTGGCTTATCGCAACCTAGTTGGTGAAACTGGCCACCGGAGATCTCTCTTTCGCTGTCGATCGTGTGCTACGAGTACTTGCTCATAGTATGGTCTTCTGACAGGCATCTCCTTCCTTCCCTTTCCTTGTCTATGGTCACTTTTGCCTCACTCACTCTTCACTTACTGTCTTGTTCATCTTTCATGTTATGGTGGTGGCGCATGTGATGTCACTGGCTTTCCTTTCAGCTGGTGCGTAAGAGTTACGAGGTAACTGGCTACCCGATTTGTCTTTTTACTCAGTATTGGCTTAACAATGAATGAATTAAAGAGGAACGCTCACGGATCGGAACAATAAAAGGTCATCGTCGCCTAACCTGTCCCATCTGTCCCTTCTGATTTGTTTTATGACTCAATCAGGCGCTATCTTTGCATGCTCGATCGGAACCCTGGAGCCTGAGCAAGGATCAATATAGATCCCCTCCCCCCCCCACCACATGTCGTCGGTTCCTCGTCGACTCCGCAATTTGCACGCTGCTTGCGCACTTCTTCCCCCCATCTAGCTAGGATTCATGCACCGTCGAAGATGAGTGGTATACACAAATTTCTCACGAGGCGTGAGCGAAATAAAGATGGAAAGTCTGGTAAAGACGAGGTAGGCCCAATTCTTGAAAAAAAGCTTCGTCAGCTCATTTTACCTTCTGTCGCAATTTGAAGCTAACGCTGTTTGCGACTCTAGACGTCGAATGTCCTGTCTCGTCCTCATTTCCGGGGTCTTTTCTCATCAGACAAACTCCCAACCACAGACTCAAATGAAGAACAAAAGAAGGTGACCACAGAAAATCCTGTCGCGCATCTGTTCCTGTTGAATACCTCGAGTTGACAGCCAAGTAGGTCAAGATTCTCGAGCAACGTGTCGCGCGACTCGGCATCACCGGCCTAAAGGAGGAACATTTCGTATATGCGATCCAGTCGGAGCATGCGCAAGGCGATGTGGACAGGGCTTTTGAGTTGCTTCTGCTCTTGGAGGATTCGATTGAGGGAATAATCAGAGGCTACACGCCAAGCACCAAACTTCGTGGCGCAGTGAATCGCGAAGGCGTTACTTGCTACCTGGACGCTCTACTCTTTGCGATGTTCGCCCGGCTGGATTGCTTCGAAGCTATTCTTTACAAATCTTTCAACGATGAGGCTCGTCGGAAACTTTCTATCTTATTGAGGCTCTGGGTCAACATGCTGCGGTCTGGAAAGCTTATCACCACCGATCTTGTAGGCAATCCTGTCTCCACACTATCTTTCGTTTCCCGCTGATTGGCGTGCTCCGCAGACAAAACACCTGCAAGATGCACTCGCTGAATGCGGCTGGCAAGATGCAGCGCGACTACGACAACAGGACACGTCCGAGGCATTCACGTTCATCACGGAAAAACTAGAGCTTCCACTCCTGACACTTAAGATGGACATCTACCATACAGGAAAGGAGGATGTGAGTGGTGATCACAAGTTCATCAATGAAAGATTGCTAGAGGTCGCAATTCCCGAACCTGTTGATGGGGAGACAGTCACTTTGGAAGATTGCTTGGAGTCTTACTTCAACAACCGGATCGAGGTCAAGCGGTACTTGGAACGGCGCCACACGCTAGGCTCAACAAAATCTCTGGATTCCCTCTCCAAAGGCTGCACGACCCACGTCGAAGAGGTTGGCACGCCGCTGTCGCCCTCTTCCAGTCAGCCTCCTTCACCCCGTTGGGATGAAACTCCACCAGTGAACTCGTTGACGGAAGTAATCGAATCCGACCCCCCTCCCTACCGTCGCAATAGCATCCTCCAAGAGCGTTTCATACCAGACACGGACCATGAGAACGAGAAGGACAGCGTGCTTACATCTCAACGGAGGGGTTCCTATCGCAAAGAAGTGATGATGCCTGCATGGCAATTTTTCAGCCTGATACGTATGAGTTGTCAGTCCTACAGCACAGCAAGGAATGCGCTAACGATGGTACAGCGTGGTATACAGACAACACACCTACCAGTGATGCCCAAGTCGCCGCACATTTCTCTTCTAAGCGTCCAATTCTAGGCATGTGCCTGAAACGCTATTCTATGCTACCCAACGGCAAAGCAGTCCGACTCAACACATTTGTTGATATTCCGACTGAGATTGGACTCCCCCATTTCATCAAGGATGACAACATGAATGAGGAAGGCCCGATCTATGGAAATTTCAAGCTCTCACTGCAGGCGATGGTGTGCCACCGTGGAACTTCAGTGGATTCAGGACATTACATATCCATCGTCAGGGGGACCAGTGCTGGAGCACCTCCAGCCAGCTCTCACGGATCCGAGGATGACACTTTCTCGGACACACCGAAGTACTGGATGCGCTTTGATGACTTAGCAAGCGAGCGAGTCACTTTGATCGACATTGAGCAGGCACTGAAAACCGAGTCGCCTTACCTCTTGTTCTACCAGATCTTACCTATCCATGAAGATGCAGCCGCAGTTAACCTAGGCTACAAGCCGCCATCGTCTGAAACGTCCAGGGACTCACGTGAGCTAGATGCGGGTAGCATGCCTAGGAAGTTACAGACACTGGCGCTGGATGATACAGCTATCGATGGGATGGAGGGGCATAGATCCAGTCGGCCAAGTTTTGAGATCACCAGCCCAGATGGAGCAGACCCCACACCCGTGGATCACAATGGCAGAAAGCAAAGCGTGACATTCTCTGAAGCCTTCGAGCCTAGCCTCCAAATGCAGTCTGTTCCATCAACCTCGCCTATGCTGACACCGAGAGACGACGAAGGCAGGAATTCTTTCTCGTTTTCCCGACGAAGTTCCAGAGCAACAAGGAGCAATCCTGGAAGTCGTACCGGGAGCCAAGCCAGTGAGAACAGAATTAGCTTCAGCTTCTCGCGGTTTGCTGGTCGACTAAGCCGGGATAAGTTTGCCGAGGGGGAAGATGAAGAGTTGACGGAGAACGAGCTTGCTCCGAACGACCGCCTACCACCGCCCAGTATGGAGCGCAAGGACAGAAGCCCGAGGCGGACTCGGGATTCCGATCGATATCGGGACAAGCTCAAAGACAAGTCTCGCGAAAAGATTGGACGGAAACTGGACCGGGAGTGTACAGTCATGTGATTATGAATCGGTTTGTAATTGATGCATAGTTGATGCACTTCAGCCTTGTTGCATTTTTCACCACGGTCTTTGCTCTTGTTGTACACCAAGTTCTCTGGTTTCGAAGGTTGCATGGTCGGCAAGGTAGGAGGACATTAATATTTAGTGATGATGCATGATTTACGCGTTATGAGGAAGTCTCTGGTGTTTGGACAAGTGTTGGTGTTAGATTAGACAGCGTACCCAAGCCACCGAAGAATGGTGATAGCCATCGAGCCTCTATAGCATATGGCGAGGCAAGCTAATGTCATTGTGATACATATGTATTCAAGATTGTGATTTAGACTTTGTATACGGAGTAGTAAAATAGTGCTGGTGTACACTAAGTTGATGCCTGCGCATGCCTGAGGTACGAAGGCATGCATACTGCATATACATGGGACATGCCAAGGCATCCACCGCCCGACGGACGGAGCTTCCCCCCATTTTGCGATCCTCCACTCCATTCGTCGTCATTGTTAAACTTACTACTGACTTATAACTATCAGCCAGCCACTCTCGGGTGACAGATACAACACTGTCTTCCCAACCTGACTTAGGCCCTTCAATTGTGGCACCGGTATGATATAAGTGAATATATCACTATTGGCGCATCATGGCGCTGGAGACGTCTGGCGGCTATGTGGCTCCCAGCAACCTCGCGGAACCTGGGGATTCCGCACTCTCCATGTTCGATGTCCGACATGTTCAGCTTCAGTTCCCTCTTGCAGCGGACTTTGTAGCCGCACAGGTAGCCAACAATGTGCTCATTCTAGCGTTATCAACTGGTCGTATTCTCCGTATCGACTTGGATACTCCCGAGGACATCGATGGTCAGTTCATTTCACCGCCGGAATAAGCCCACCGCTCCGCATCTTCTCACGTCGCAATGCTAATTGAGCTTCCTGAATTAGACATCGACCTTCCTAAGAAATCCTCGGAAACTGGAGTAATTCGGCGAATGTTCCTTGATCCCTCCGCCTCTCATCTCATCATCACAACTACCCTGGGCGAGAACTATTACCTCCACACCCAATCGCGACAACCTAGACCTTTGTCGCGACTGAAAGGTGTCTCGATTGAGAGTGTCGCCTGGAATCCAGCGCATCCTACAGCGTCGACAAGAGAAATTCTACTGGGTACTACGGATGGACAGATCTGGGAAGCTTACATTGAGCCGTCGAGCGAGTTCTACCGGCGCGAAGAGAGATATGCACATGTCGTCTTCAAGGCCTTGGAGGGCTCGCCTGTGACGGGACTGTGGGCAGAGTCAATCCCAACAAGGCCGGAGCTGAGACGGGTGCTTATAGCAACTCATGGCAAGTTGCTAAGCTTCCTGGGGCGCACCGGGAGATACGGACGGGAGGGGGGTGGGCCTATTTACGCCGATCTATTCCAACGCGAATCGCCTGTTACTCTCGAGATTCAGAAGCCCTCCGGTGCCGCACCGTCAATGCTGGCAGTCTCCCCAATTCTTGCGGATGCACAGACGACGGGAGGTGTGGCCGACAAAGAATTTGCATGGCTCAGTTCTCAGGGGGTGTTCCACGGACAACTCCCATATGCGCCTGAAAAGCTCAGCAAGCCGCTTGAAAGCGCAAGCATGCTTCCACGGTCCGTGTTCCCGGCTAGTGAATCTGCGCGCGGCGGTAAGAAGCTCATTCAGGATCCCATTACCGCCGTGACATTGTCCCAGTGGCACATCTTTGCCCTAGTCGAAGGCCGGATTGTCGCTGTAAATCGAATGAGCGAGGAGATCGTTTTTGACGAGGCCGTGTTGGAACCAGGGCAAAGTGCTTTGGGCCTCCTGACGGACGCGACGCAACATACCTACTGGCTGTTCACTAGCCGCGAGATCTACGAAATTGCCGTGGAGAACGAGGATAGGGATGTATGGAAGGTCTACCTGCAGAAACAAATGTTTGATCAAGCTCTGCAGTACGCCCGTACCAGTGCCCAGAAAGATGCCGTCTCCACGGCTTCCGGTGATTTCCTTGCGGAGAAAGGCCGATATCTTGAGGCGGCCACCGTATGGGGCAGAAGCAGCAAAGGATTCGAAGAGGTCTGCTTGACGTTGATCAACCGTGGAGAGCATGATGCGTTACGCAAATATTTATTGTCTCAACTGTCAACGTACAAGAAATCCTCTTCCATGCAGCGCATCATGGTCGCAAGCTGGCTGGTTGAGGTCTTTATGACTAAGTTGAACTCCCTCGATGACAACATTGCTACCCGAGCAGAGCTTGCCGAGGGCACCAGCACCGAGGAAGTGAAGGATGAGCTTGGCACTGTCAGAGCTGAGTTCCAGGACTTTGTCAATCGGTACCGGTCTGATCTTGACAAGAAGACTGCGTACGATATCATCAGCAGCCACGGTCGTGAGGAGGAGCTACTCTTCTTCGCCACCGCGGCCAATGACTACAATTATGTTCTTTCCTACTGGATACTGCGGGAGAAATGGACGGAGGCACTCAATGTTTTGCAACGACAAAGTGACCCGGACGTGTTTTACAAGTACAGCAGTGTCCTGATGACCCACGCTGCTGCTGGACTGGTCGATATCTTGATGCGACAGACCAACCTAGAGCCCGAGAGACTGATACCTGCTCTACTTAACTATAACAAGACGGTGAATGTCCCATTGGGGCAGAACCAGGCCGTGCGATACCTCAACTTCATCATTGTCAACCATCCGAACCCCTCCGCCGCCGTCCACAATACCCTGATATCAATCCATGCGTCCAGCGCCTCGACCTCTGAGGCGGGGCTTCTCACCTATTTGCAATCACAGCAATCCTCGCCCCCACCGTATGATGCCGACTTTGCTCTGCGTCTCTGCATTCAACACCAGCGCGTCCAATCATGCGTTCACATCTACAGCGCTATGGGACAATATCTTCAAGCTGTGGAGCTGGCTTTACAGCATGACGATATTGAACTCGCAGCAATTGTGGCCGACCGTCCGGAAGGGAACGAGAAGCTCCGAAAGAAGCTCTGGCTCCTTGTCGCGGAGAAGACAATCCGGCAGCCCGGGAAGGGTATCAAGGATGCCATCGAATTCCTCCGCCGATGCGAGCTGCTTCGCATTGAAGACCTCATTCCGTTCTTCCCGGACTTTGTCGTTATCGACGACTTCAAAGACGAGATCTGCAGTGCGCTGGAGGAATACTCTCGGCACATCGACGCTCTCCGGCAAGAGATGGACAACTCGGCACACACGGCCCGCCAGATCCGCACGGAAATTGCGGCACTTGACACGCGCTACGCTATTGTGGAGCCGGGAGAGAAGTGCTGGCTCTGCTCTTTACCTGTGCTCAGTCGACAATTCTTTGTGTTTCCCTGTCAGCACGCGTTCCACAGCGACTGCTTGGGCAAGGAGGTGCTCGAGGGCGCAGGGGGCAAGAAGAAGTATATCCGGGACTTGCAGGCGCAGCTCAGCAAAGGGTCTCTCAATGCGGCGCGGCGGGCGGAAGTGGTGCGTGAGCTTGATGGGCTGATTGCAGAAGCATGGTATGTTCTTGCCCCTAGGGCTTCAGAAGTGTCACTAATCAGAATGTCAGTATCCTTTGCGGTGACCATGCGATCAAGCAGATTGATCGGCCGTTCATTGAGAGCTCGGAGGGCGTGGATGATTGGGCGCTGTAGTCGCATTGAGTCGGGTAAGATCTGGTGATTTAAGCTTGAGTGTGTTGTGTAACGAGCGCGCATGATGGGAGCACTGCGTTATGAGCGTGAAGCAATTTATCTTGATTGTTCTTTGATTCTATTTCCCAGCAAGTTGGATGGATATATATATACTGCTTGCTTGGGATCATGACTAGGCTGCTGCCGCTGCTACGGAAATGACAGCCCATGAGCTAGCTACTTCAACTGCTTCAGATCCTATCTTCACGCCCACTAATTCCTCGAACGTTATTGTACATGTAAGATCATAGCGCCGTCCAACTGATTCACACCATAGCCCCCCTCCCCCTTGAGTGCACACCCACAAAGAAAAGTCCTCGATCTCCTTACCAGACCACCGATCAGGTCATGTTATTACTCAAACCCACAGACCGGCCTTGGAGTCTATACACTGCAGCTCGCAGGGCAGCATACACGTACAGCTCCACAATCAGATCCATCCCACAGCCGATCTGCGATCGACTTACAGCTTCAGAACGCAAGCCGGTATGAACTCAAAGCATGTACTACACACACACACACACACACACAGAGAGAGAGAGAGAGAGAGAGAATACCTTTGTCGCACAAACTTTAACAAAATGGATGCACCCCAAGACAGGTATACAGAAAGCCGGGAATAGGACTAAGTAGACTCTCCTTGTTCGCGGCACCCCCCCTCACATATGGCTCATAGAATCCCGAAGCCTGTTGACGTGAGGACATATCTGCATGTGTGAGATCGGAATGCTGCACAAGGTTTTCGAGTGCTGCGATCTGGGATGTGAGATTGGAAGAATGGAGGACATCGAAGCTATCCACGTACTGTGAACAGTACAGTTGTTATAGTAGGTGCAGTACATGAATGATCTAAAGCGAGACGCGAACTCAATGTTGACCTACTGTTTGTAGTTACCAAGTCATCTACTAGGATTGGACTGTGGCACTGGGTGTATACCTTAATACAGCACTATCAGTGTACAAATATATGGCGCAAATAACTACTAGGTAAACAACTCCAGCTCCAGCTACAGCAATGCAGATCCATCGAGAACCTCCGTAGTACCCACGGCGTACAGCGTACGGTACTTTCCCACCCGCCGAGTCCGTGCACAAGGACAACAATGGAACAATCAGCAGGCTAACAAAGCAAACGCAAACGCTCGCTGTTTTCCAAAAGGGGGTGGGGCGCGAGGTTTTGCTATACTTTTGGTCTGGTTGTGTGTGTGTGTGTGTGTGTGTGTGTGGCGTGCAAGGCCTGCGCACAGCAGCAGCAAACAACAGGCCAGATGTGCAGGTTGTTGGGGGCTGCTGCTGCATCGAAGCGCTGGACTTGCGTCTCCCCCTCCCCCTCCCCCTTGATTTGGAAGTTTTTGTTGGTGAAAAAGGGTTTGGGGATGTGTGTTTCATATAGATGGGGATGGGAATTGGGATGGAGAAGGGCTAGACTCTGGACGTTTGGTGTTTTGGGCTAGGGTGGTACAAATGGGTGGTGTGTGCTGATGTATATTTAGATGTTCGATATTGATATCGTTACCTACAGATCTGTATCTGGTTTAGTTTACTTTAGAGGGAGAGCGGGTAATCTTGCTGCCTGACGATGGTGGCTGCCACCTGTGGTTTGTTGGATATGCCGGTCAATTCCGGAAACAAACATTGACAATAGAAGACTGGGGAAACAGAGGTCCGTTTGAATCAATCAACCATTGATAAACTTGATCGAATGCAATGGCCTTGAACGAAGTTTGTAGATCAAACACACACAAGTCGAATCCTGCATCACAGCCAACATCAACCAAGAAAACAAAAACCGTTTGACATCGCCCCTCGCGCCCTCTGGCCAATTGAAGCGCTCAATTGCAAAGTGGACAGGCAGGCAGGCAGGCAGGTAGTCTTATGTGTTAGACATTTGATGCACCACCACTGCATCTCCTGGACTGAACTGAACTGTTTGTCTTTGTTGAAGTACTGGGGATTTCCCCCCAATCCCGCCTTGCATAGGTTTGAAGCCGAAGGGATGGGACTGTGCTCTCTCTCTCTCTCTCTTTTCCCCCTTGGAGTCGGGTCGGTCTTCTTCATCCGAGTGTTTCTTCATGTTTCTCTCCCTCTCTTTGCCCCTCCCTCCCTTTGCTGGTGCATTGTGCATTGTGCATTGGAGTTTCGTCATCGGGCTTGGTTAACTACCTTTACAGTTCTTACATTGTACAGTACATTTAGAAGTGGGTGAGGTGGGGGGAGGAGGGGGCAAGGGAGACACTGCTCCTGCTGCTCCTGCTGCTGCTGCTGCTATGTTACATATAACATATCAAGCATGCGGGTAGAGAGGATGTAGTCATGTACTGTAGAACCAGTTGCCACCGGGTATGTACACTACATATACTTATAGTTGGTACATATCTGCGGTGCCTGGGTGCCTTGGTTTCTGTGGTTGAGGTGCAGAATGGGATATGCATGGTCCGTGTCCGATCGCTCATTTGGGGGAGATGGATACGAAGTACGAGTTGACTTGGTAAGTGAATTGTGTGAACTTGAACTTGAGACGAGCAGGTCTCCGGAAAGAGCGAACTGAGGGTCGAGGGGTCACATCTCAGTCCATGATCTCCATATTAGTCAATTGATCACTTGACTGAAGTTGAGCGTGTTTTGGTTGACATGTTGTATGTGGTTGCCGGACTACCGACTTGAAACTGTAAAATGTTGAGACAGGACCTAAAAATGAGACTCGATTGCGAAATCCGGGGAAAGTTGCCACCGGGTCTGAAATGCAACGGTAGACGATCACGAAATCCTCATACTCTGCTCCTCATATCTCTGGTTGCCGCGGTGTTTCTAGACGAAGAGTGGAAGGAATTGTTCTTGTTGACGGAAACGAACCTTGAGCGAGGTTGAGCCAGTGGCACAGGGTGGAACCACTTGGGAAAAACCAGCCTATCAACACCCGCATTTTACCGGACCGCAGATCGTGCGGGGTAAAAATTGCAGACGATTTGGGGAAGTCGTTTTTTCAATCCATCCACCAATTCGACTCACGCTATCGATTTCGGCTCCTCTCCAAGCCAACTTAACTTTACACTCTAGTCTAATGGGCCGATCCTCCCCCCATCCCCCCCCCCAGCTGATGCAACTTTTCGCAACTTCATCATGATTTTTAGTGTTCCCACCTAATTGATCGCGTGCTCCTCCTGAAAAACTGGATCGTTTGGAGGCCGATCCGGGGACTAAAGGTACGATCCCGCTCGCCTGGGGCTCGGAAATATGTGTGTGTGTGTAGGCATGCACATTGTTCAAGTGGGTGGAATGGTGGTGGTTTGACTTCAATGCTGATACGTAGCTGGGTTCGGTCAGCTCTCCTATCTCTCCGTCTATCAATCAATCAATCAATCAATCAACGAGGAACGGGAGTGAACTCTATTCCTCACATTAATGACCCTGCCAATTGGTGGCCCATGCTACCCTGCTCGTTACTATCAGTACTATCTATCTATCTATCTCCCAACCTCAGTGGCTTCCTGTCCCCTTTCGGGATGCACAGAAAGAATCGTTTGTGTCATCGCTTAATCAACAACAACGACAAACACGGGGAGTATACCCAGGTAGTATCTACCGATATCCAGCGCCAGACCCAGAGGAGAACAGAACGAAACCATCACCTTATCGTCCATTCGTTTCACAGTCTCTCTTACACAGCCAACCCGGATTCGTGGTTATCTGCTCGGCTGATGATCCCCGTAACTAATCACTGATAAGCCCATCCAAGGTTCACCCCAACCATCTCTTGCTTCAGCCCAAGTCCGGTTTATCTACCGAGTCTCCAGGCTGGCGATCCGCAAGTTGTATCGTGTCCGCTTCGTGTCCCATGGGTGACCACACCACTGCCACTCGCCAGAAACTCTATGGAGGGGCGGCAGTGCCAGGTGACTTGTGAGAGAGTATCCAATAGCGGGCCAGACAGGCAACGATCATAACTTGCCGGAACCGAAGAGGATCCGAGAGAGTAATGGGGAGGAAGATCAGTCAGTCTGCCAGCCACCAACTCATTACAAAGAACTACTCCGTACTCGCACTAAAGTTGTCATTGTTGTTGTTGTTGATGATGATAGCATGGAATGAGATAGGTGGTGTGGTCCCAGCCGGGGCATCGCGTGATACCCGTGTGAAATCAGCCACCTGGCGGGCAAAAAAAAAGCCCTTCTTCCTATCAGTGCCTGGACTACTAATGAATAATTGTGGGGGAGTGCCCCCTCCCCCCCCTCCGGCCTCTATCGTTTAGTCAGAAAGCTTCCACGTAGACGCTTCCCTCTTTTTCTGCTTGCATGATCAAGACTCACGCAGCTTGAGAACTTGCCGTGGATCAATCAGTTCAGGCTGCAAGGACCAAACCTTAGCCAACACCGGAGCAGGAGGCGGTCAAGCAGCCACTAAGACACCGGCTGCTCACCGCCAGACATGCAATGCAGCCCCGGAAACATGCCAGACACGGGGCGCTGCCACCAGCTCGACCTACAGCTACCTGGGGACACTGACTGACTGGCCATTGGGCAGGCCACTCACTGACTGGTCGGCTCTGGGGAATTATGTCTCCGAGCGTCAACAGCGGCAGGTCGAGCACGAATGCATCAACTGGTTGTTGTTGGTGGTGTTGTTGGTGGTGTTGTTGTTTTCATCCACCTGCATATGCGCACCTGGAGACGTAATCATCCTCAGACATCCCCGCAAAATTCTGTAACAAGACCGACGGATAATAAAAGTAATACTTCACCTACATATAGAATAGATAGGCAAAAAAGTCAGACCCATCTAAAATCCCGCGCGGTAAACAAACAGGACCAACGTGGACCAGGAGCAAGTTGTGCAACAACACAAACGGTGATTATTTCCCCAGTCTTTTTATGCCGACCTCCACCTATAGTTACTGTACTGTCTGTACATACATACATACATACAGTGTGTTGTATGTACTGTAAGTCCTCTTTGCCTGCCTGCCTGCCTTTTTGTAGGTAAATTCAGGTCAGGACCACCAGGTAACTCTAAGTATGTGTACACACACACACACACACACACACATGACTCTCCTTCCCTCGTGGTCACTTGGCACACATTACTGAGCACAATTTAAGTGTTAACTAACTTTTGTTAGTCTCCAAAGTCATAGTCAAGCGTGATATTAAACTAAGTGGTCAGTGGTCAGTGGTCACCGTCTCAAGTGCTTCTCGAAATTATGCCATCGGTCGCTTTCCCCATACATCCGCGACCCGATCGTCGATGATCGTCCAGGCCCTCCCCCGGGGCGTCATTTTGCGTTCCTCCCCCTTCTGCGTTGACTCGGGGCCAATCGATGGGGCAATTATTGGCCACGACGCCGCCCACTTGTTACTTGCTCGGGACTGGCGTCATGCAGCCTGGGAATAGTGTGACTCCGGTTATCGGTGATTGGAAGGTTTTGGGGTTTGGGTGGTCATGGGTGGGCGATGACCCACAAATTGCCCGGAATGAGTCTAGGGTGCCTGTCGTTGTCAAGTCGCCACCCTGCTCCGCCATCGGCCGAGGGAATTCTCTCTAGGTACGGAGACAGTACTAATTTTATTCCCGGCTGAAAATGGAAAACATCGTCATCTTTTCTGTCGGTCGCCGATTTGCTGGTCGGAAGCGGAGCGGTGTTTTTTCCTTTATGATTGTTGTTTGAATAATGCCAGGTGGATCGATCTAGATCGAATTGGTCTGTGTGAGAGAGAGGTTTACGGTCTCCGAGATGAGGTCTTCAGAGTAAGTGGCTTGCTTGGTGTCTGGTCTGTTTTGTGACGAGATGCTTGATCATTCATTAACTATTGAATCACGGATGGCGTTACGCATTACCTGTCCGAAATATGGGGAAGGGGGGAGGGGAGAGGCAGGGGGATAAACCGACACTCTCTACGGAGTATAGCTTAACTTGCCCATCCCATCACCACAGACCGGTATGGCGCTCGCTGCCTGTCATCATCAATTATGTGCGTGTGACAGAAGTTGAATGGATTGACAGACACGGGAGGCATCCTACCGTGTAGTTCCCATCTTTTGGCATACTTTCGTACATACTGACAGGGAAAGAGAGACGGTTTATCATACGGATCATAATCATAATCCAGGATTTCTTCCTCCTCCCGATAACGATGGGGCCCGCGAGACCCTGCTTCCTTGGACCTGCAGGAACCTCACCTTAGTCATAGCGACGGGGCGGTCTTGGTGCCCATTCATTGAACTCTTATCTCGACAGTTTAGTTTGAACGGCTACAGGTGTAGTGTTGTAGTATCTGTACAGTACTTTGTAGAATATCTTCAGCAGCTTGTTGCTAGTGCATCAATTGACTTTATGCCTACCCCAATTGACTAGAGCTAGAGCTGCTAACTTACAGAGTACCTTGAAAGCAATGAGTTGTTGATCACGCCAGTTCGAGTGGGTGGAATCTTTTACACTCTTTGTTCGCCCACGGGCCATGACTCAAAAGGGTTTTTTTCCCTTGGGTGAGCGAGGTCGGGTGGTGGTGGCCAACTTTCTGCTCCATGTCTTATTGTCTTTGACTTTCGGTCTGGATCGTGCGTGCTGTCGCGGCAATCCCCGAACAGAATTACAGGTTATAGTAAACGTTAACTTACCAGTAACTTACCATAGCTAATTCTTTACTTAGATAATCAATTATTCAATTGTTTACACCTCTCCAGTAACTATGTGTAACTCAAGTTGATTCCCGCACGGCAATTCCATATTTTGGCGTTGTGTACGGAGTATTCATTCAATGGGGACAGAAGAAGGCTTGACGGCCCGGCAACCTGGCAGGGCAAGGGGAGGTGGAAAGGTGGATTGCGGCTTGCGAGTGGATGGGGGTTCGAAAAATAAGGGAAGAAGAATGCGTGGTCAGTGCCTGGGTGATGATAGGCAGGTAGGCAGGCAGGCAGGCAGGGTCACGGACTGGAACGCTGCTGAAACCATTACTCATACTTGTTGTTTGTCCTTTCCATTGAGTTGAGAGTCGGTCGGGTTGTTTACCATGACCGTTAATTAGCTTAACCACCTAACATACTGTCGGGTCTGGTACACACTATGTAAGATACAACTTCAGTCACGCAACCGCTCATTCATGATTATCTCATCCAGCCCATCCATTCTTTTCTCCGCTCTGGGGTTACTGATAGGCCAGAGCTGTTGTTGTTGGTGGTGGTGTTGCAACATGGATTGGGGTGATTTGGGATAAAGTACCGCAACCAGGGGGGGAGGGCGTCAACAATCCCAAGGGTCCCCCGATTGATTACCTTTGCACACCAGGGGGGTGGGAGGAGAATTGTACATGTAAGCAACAAGAAAGAATCATGGTGATGGCAATGGAGCTTGCTGATTCATCATTGAATTGTTGCCAGTCATAATCTTATTACTCAACATCCAGAGTAAACCGGGCGGATGTTTCTGATGACTGCCAGGGCCGGAGACATAGTGAAGAGGAGTACGTACGTGGATTAGAATGACGGATGAATCATTCAGGGGAGGGTGGAAGTGGAAGTGGAGCTTCATCTGGCCGGAAACGGGCTTCAGTTTCTCGACCTGCATCCATCATCTGAGTGAGTGTAAGAGAGACTCACTCACTCACTGTTCCGTATGTACAGTACTGTAAGTAAGTATGCTCATGTACGTACCAGTAAACAAGGTGGTGTGGAGACGGATGTTCAGGTGAGATTGGGTAGACTCGGCAGATGATTACCGGTTTTTACCACGAGGTACTACCTTGCCTAAACTTCCATTCGGGTTGCAGTGCTTTGTGCAGGCAGGCAGTCAGGTATTGGTATGGTATGGAAAGTGCCAGTTATTGGCTGGCCGAGCCACCCATCGGTACTGTGGTAGGTTCCATACCATACCCAAGGCACGACAACGACGTAGGAGGTTCTCGCTCGTTCGCCCAGTTTCCAGTTTCCACTTTCCTTTCCTTTCCCTCCCCTCATGAAGGCCACAGTTGAGACTTGGGACTTGGGGGAGGCACACTGGGTTCAACCTCCATCCCCCCCATTTTTCCATTCATTATTATTATTGACTCTGGACTTTCGCCCCTCCTACTAATCCCTAATTAGGTTTAGTGGTGTCCCAAAGTGCTATCATCTCATCCGGAAACCTCCCCTTATCCCTATCGCGGGCGCCCGCCCACCTCCCCCAAATTAGTTGGGTTAGTCACTCACCACTCAACTAACTAACTACTCGGGTCAATCAGTCATACCTACCTCTCCGTACTTACCTAGTCATCATCTCCCCCATTCATCTGCATTCCATCTCTCCATCTTCCCTCTCTCATCCTACTCTACCTTCCTACCTTCTACCTTCCACCTTCTTCCTTCTTCCTTCCCCTCCTCCTTTCACCACCTCCCTCTTCACTACGCTTCGCTTCGCCTCCTCTCTTCTACAACCTCATCCGACCACCTTCCTCACTCCTCAGCTCCATTGCACCTTCCTACCCGATACTCCCTATCTACTACCGACTACCGATTCCCGACTACTCGCCACCCCGTCCTCAACAACAACCTACCGCTCCCACTAGCTCTTATTCCATCTGCTCCTCTTCGCTCATCATCGTTGCGACACGATACAGTGCTTTGACAAGTTCCTCGTCTGATTAGACCAACGTCGTGATCTTCTCCACCTGCTCTACTTCAGAACAACCCGCACTGGTTTCGTCGCCAACAGCTTGATCGAACCTCTTTTCCTCGGCTGTCTCGTCTTTTGCCTGGCCTTCCCAACACCTACCCCCCCGTGACTCATCCGTGCTCCCAAGCCAACCACGTCGAGAGCTTCCTCGGACCCACGTTTCGTCGACCTTACAGCAGACTGTCCTTTGAAGCCTTGCTACGTTTCGATTGCAGACAATACGTGTGAGGGTGTCGCTCCGCTCTGAGGTCAACACTGCTTTGTTGTCCATCCGTTCGCCGCGCAACCTTGGCCGGGTGCTGGTATTCGGTTCTTCAGCTTGCCCACTCACGGGACAGAAGACCTTACCTACCAGTTGTCCAAAGCCTCGGTCTCCTATAGTTTCCTACTCAACCCTCAGGACTATATAATCTATCGGTCATTCTATGACTCGATAGTCTTCGACCGCTCCCTCTCCTTCGAGTCACGACCTTTTTTTTCCGACCTTCAGCCTGGTGTTGGAAGGCCTTTCTTTGTTACGAGCCTTGTCTGTTATACTCTTGGTGTTTACGATATCTACGCAGCGTTCTTCCTCGTCATTTCCTTGTTGACCAACTGTCCAACCGCCGGACGTCGCCATTCACTTCAATCACATTCTTTCCTCGCAACATACTTATCTTCGCCTTTGGCCGTGGGCCCCTATTTGTGAAAACGATATACCGATGCACTCATAACAGTCTTTAACAACCAATTTCCTATCGTCGTTCGAAAACCCCCCAGGGTATCTCTGAATTGCGCTTTGCGCCTACTCATTCTCACCACTTTTTTTGTTCACTTTTGTCATCATATCCTCTTTGACTTTCCGGTATTTATACGATAAATTCTGAGCCGACAACTCACTTGTTCCTTTTGTCGTTTCGTTCTTCTTCCTCTCCCCCCTCTCACCTTCCGACTCTTCTCTTTTGGATCTGGGTGGCCAAGATCTACTTGGAAACTTGAGCTGGCATAATCTTTGAACTTCATTGTTAGCCACATCGTTCGAGGTTAATCCTAACTCGAGCTTTGCCAACCGACTACCTCAATCACGCTCTGATCAAGTGAGCCTGTTCCTATATTCTACCTCGACGACTATCTCTGGGAGAACATCGTCCTGTTAGAGTATACACATAACAATGGAGTGCCTCAAGAACAATTTTGTTGAAGGCCAGCTGTTGGACGGACGGTTCCGCACCGTCGCTCCCTTGAACCATGGATCTTTTGGCATGGTCTTCCTGGCAAAGGACTTGCAGACTGGCCAAGATGTGGCCATCAAATGCATGACCAAGTCCTCCTCGGGTGACCCGTCGAACCCCTCCCCATATGATGCCCGTGCCGAGGAGCTGGAATGCCACAGACGTCTCAGGTTTCATCCCAACATCGTCAACCTCATCCATTCCTTCGAAACGGATGCCCATATGTATCTCGTTTTGGAGTATTGCTCGAATGGTGACCTGTACGAAGCAATCCGGCTCAACCGTGGTCCCTTGGAAACCGAACACGTGCGCGACTTCATGTTGCAACTTGTGAGCGCAGTGGAGTTCATGCACGCGAACGGCCTGTACCACCGTGACATCAAGCCTGAGAACATCTTCTTGATGCAGGATGGCTCCATGAAGCTGGGTGACTTCGGTCTGGCGACTCGGGAGGCTTGGTCCCACGAGGCCTGCGTTGGCAGTGATCGTTACATGGCTCCCGAGCAGTACGATCCCTCCACCGTCGGCTATTCCCCCGCCAAAGCCGACGTCTGGGCGATCGGAATTTGTCTGCTCAATGTTCTCTTCGCACGGAATCCCTTCGCCACGCCGACGGAATCCGACATTCTCTACGCAGACTACGTACGGGATCGCCAATCGTTGTTCGACATCTTCCCCAACATGTCTCAGGATACCTTCGAAATCCTGAGGACTGCTCTTGCCATTGACCCTACGAAGCGTTCCCTTTCTGGCATTCGCGAAGCTATCTTGCGTGCTGTCACGTTCACGACAGATGATGACGCGCTGGACGAGTTCTGCACGGACGACCGCGAGGTGGTTGCCGCCAGTGCCAACCGGGAGCCGCTTCGGACCCCTTCCATCCAGAGCCCTCACATCAACCAGGGCGACTCCTTCCCTTGGGCCAAAGCTCTTCAAGCCAGCCCTCCCCAGACCTTCCGTCAGCTCTCCGCCATTCCCGACAACGAGAGCTACACCGAAGACCTTTTCCCTCCCTCGGAGATTGCTGGCACTTCGTGGTTCTCTGTCCACCAGGGTACCCCATCCATGGCTTCCGTTCTGGAGTCTGCTATGGGCGAATCTTTCCGGTCTCCTCCGTTTCGCAAGAACGAGGTTCGATTTCCACCTCCTTCCGATCCCGTTCCCATTACCGGCTCTTTGCCAAGCAATGCTACGAAGCCCCTGCCTTCTCTTTCCATGGTCTTTGGCAAGAAGAAGGAGGAGCAGATCTCCAAGAGCTGGAGCGATCTTTGGGATGAGGAGGAAGAATCTGAAGCTGAGGACCTGGCTTACCAGCAGCGTCGCGAGCAGAACTCACGCAGCTGGAGTCATGAAAGCAGCACGCCTGAGCTTCGTGGACCCCTGACTGGCCTGCACGAAGTGGTTAGCAATTCTCTCCTCAACGTCCGCGCCCAACAACTGGAGACATCGCACGAAGACACCGAGAAGTTTGTCTCCAAGTCGTGGGATCCGAGGGCGGGAATCACTGCTATCAAAACCCCACCTCAGTCCCCCGACAGCTCCCCGCAGAAGTCAAGCCTCGACAAATGGTCAGCCCTTGGTGACCGTCGGAGGAACTTCAAGTCCCCGGAGACCTCTTCCGGAAAGAAGTTTTCTAGCAATATGAGTTGGAGGAAAGATTGGGGCTTAGGGTCCTCGGGCTTCGACTATGGTTCTTGGGCCAAGAAAGAGACGTTCTCTCCTCCGGATCGGGAGCGGCGGCGTCGTCCCTTCCAGGAGAAGGGGCGGCGTCGCGACGCCTGGGAGTCTCCCAAGGCCGCCCATAGCAAGGCTGCGAACCACTACGATGGCAGCGTCGACGAGGACCTCGATCTTGTCGGCGGCTGGCACGACCTTCATCTGTAAGGAGCTTAGCCCCACCTCTGGTGCCGGCGTCCGACGTTCCTCTCCATTCTATTGTACCGTCCAATGTCGCTGAGAAGAGCAACACAATAATAAATAAACATTCCAACCAATACTCCGACTTGTTTTAGCTTTCGCCCTTTCCACTCTTGCTCCGATGCATTTCTCCATGCGGTCGCCAAGGCCAGCATTTTGGCGCCCGGCGACCTTATATTCACATTCAAAACCTATATTCTCTTCACTCTTCTTACCCTATAGAATGTATGTGGCCTCCGTGCCCATCTATCTGTCAGTGTTTTCTGTTTCCTATTCTGTATAATATGACACTATTCGACGGAGTCAGCAGTGGCGGTGACGAGCAGGTCAAAAGTGACTCATCAACTGATAACTGGAGGGATTCTCCTCTTACTGGAGTGTTTGAGTTGTTTTTATTCACTCTTCTTTCCCTTCTCCCTTGCTCAAAAATTCTATGTTTCTCTTCCTTGAGAAAAAAAACAAAAGGTCCAATGCTTGGGGGTTCGTTGGACGACGACGCAGGACGACGATGGCGTGCAGCAGGCCGTGGCGCTATTTCCTTTATCCGGTTCTTACACATGAAAAAAGCAATGAACAAGACGAACAGTCGTTCTTTCATCCATTCTTTCTTTGGTCGGCTCTATCTCCCCTGGAACAGGCTGTTGGACTGGACTGGGACATCTGTGTACTACATGTAATTAGCCGGAACAGTTGAGTAGCTAGTAGTGATGAGGCGGTTCGACAAGCAACAATGCGACAGGAATCAAAAGTGATTATAGTATTCGAAGACATTCTCTCTCCCAACATCGTAGAGGCGCCGCCGTAGATACACGCTTGTAGAAATGAGAAATATCTTAGTGACCCAGCGCCGCGCAGCATGTAGTTCCTCGAGCTGCTAATGTGTTCTACGAAGATGAAACGAAGTAGATCAAGGTTGGGCCATCATTGATAAGTGCAGACTGAGTATTCCAATTTATGTGACAAAATAAATCCACAGAGTATATATCCTTGTCCACTCTAAGTATGGCTGAGCGCAGTGGTCTGATCTAGGTACGGCCGGCGCCTACTCTTCCTCGATCTCTTGAACAACTATATCGTCCAGCGCCTTCAATTTGTCGATACCTTCGGTCGTCATAGGCCTGATCAACAGATGAGAGTTAGAATGCTGTCCTCTTTCCAGAAACCATGGTACACTTTCTAGGACCACATACGGGGGATAACAGGTGGGAGGCAGGGCTCTATTGCAGATCCATACATCTTGCTTCGTGTCCGCCTTGATTATCCTAGGTTGACCGGGTTAACCATGATCAGGGATCACCACGAGAAAGCGGGAATCCTTGCTCTGTCGCTTGCTTATCATTGCTTTCCCAGGCTTCGATGGTTTTCCAAGTGTAATAGACTCTCTTTTTTGTTGTTTCGGGTTCAGTTGCCGTTGGAATACTCCGGGGATAGAGATCATTGGCATGATACTCACCTTGCGGTCTGACATTGTGAAGCAAATTGGGGTCTAGAGGTAGGGTGACTGTGTTGTATTTGGCTGCCTCTGGGTAGTTCACTGTTTTAAGTGTTGATGATCCCTCTGTCGAGCAAGTGGGGTGAACTCATGGGCCTTTTATATCTTTGGCTGATGATATTCTGGAGCCTGGGCTCTCTGTTTTCACTTTTCCATGGAGAGAGATGGCTTCATGCGGTCTGACGCATCATGATATATAGAGAGAGAAAATCACTCATGTATATTGACGTCCAAACAAGCAAGCATGGTGAGGGGATTTTCGCAAGAGGGGAGAATGCGTAGATGATGCTAGTAGCTACCGGGCTCATGTACAGTCAGTGCTGTCGGGTACTTACTGTACAATCCATATACAACCACCCCGAACCAATAGCAGTTGACCATCTCGCCCAGTTCCGCCAGCCTCCGGAGCTGTGTTTCAGTCATAGTCTAGGTGCGTAGCTGCGGATAGCATGAAGAGACCTTTCTTATCTGGTCGTGGAGCATTATTCACTAATGATGACTAGTTACTGTATGTATGCATGCATGCTCAGGGACCAGGGCACGGCGGGGTGGCCACTCCCGCCGGGGGCTGAATCCGAGCTTCCCGAAGTGGCAGGCGGTGGACAAAGCGGAGAAATGCAAAACCAGGTGGGCGATGACGATCGAATCATTGTCTACGAGTCGAGTCGAATGTTTCCATTTGACACATACTTACCTATTCCGTAATCTCGGCCAGTCTGGCCTCCAAGATTAATCGTCTTGTTCTTCTTCTCCTCCTCCAGTGACTGAGTGGTGGACTGACGGAGAGCCAAGCTGAAGTCGTCGCCACTGCGGAGTCCCCTCTTACAGTTCTGGCAGAACGTGTCATTTGCCGGAGTGTTTCTCTTCTTTGCTGACAGGACAGGGAGAAAGAGAGAGACAAGAGGCTGGGGAAGGTCAACAAAGGGTGCTTGTTGTATCCTTGCATTTCCTTTCCTTCGCCCAACCCAGAAAAATCCCGAAGGTACTCGTACACTGAATCACAAACAAACGTGATCTCTTCGTCGGACTCCACAGAAAATGCGCGCGCCTGTGTGGCGGTCAACTCATTTTTCTTTCTAGTTGAGGTGCGGAGAGACACTAAGCTACTCTGCTAGGTACTGCGATTAACAACTTCGCACAATCGCCCTTCCCGGCCTGCGAGAAACAAAATCAAATTTCAACTCAAGACATCCATCCCCAAGTGGCAACCCCTTGGGCGTTGAAGGGAAACCTGCCTCCCAAAAATGGCCGGGTGGACGGCAACACAATGGATTCCCTGGATGACTCTAATCTCGACCTGGATTGACGGGGTCGCCGCCAATCAACCTCCATCGATCTGCCCCACGCCCGATACCCTGAAACTCGGCGCCCAGCTGATCCAGTGGCCTGTCTGCATCGAGACACGATGGGGACTTCAGCGCTCCGAGGTCGATGCCGCGACTTATATCCTTTCCCTGACGCCCTCGGTGGCAGCAGAGGCCGCATCGGTGACCGTGTCGGCGTCCTCTTCGAGTCATGAGGCGGCCACGAGTCCCACCTCGGCGGACGAGCAACAACAACAACAGCAGCAGCAGCAGCAGCAGCAGCAGCACCGGTCCGACCAGGAGCTCGACACGGATTCTCCGCTCGACAATGCGAAATTCCTGTCCTTCGAAGACTGGAAGAAGCAGAATTTGGCTAAGGTGGGACAGTCCGCGGAGAATGTGGGCGGGAGTCGCCGTGGTGGCGTGGCCCAGGGCAAGGAGGACCGGCGACGGCCCACGGGGATCAACAATGCGCTGGACTCGCTAGGCGACGATGCGGAGATTGAGCTGGATTTTGGGGGCTTCGGCGCAGACACGACGCCCCAGGCGACGCGGCCCACGGCGTGGACTGCGATGGTCTCGTCCTCCACCGAGGCGCGAGGCGAGCGGATACCGGGGGCCGGACACGAGGCCGGCGCTGATGGTGGGCCGGCGCAGGGCATGCCCCAGGCCGGGGTGTCTCGCTCCAAGGACGCGGGGACGACCTGCAAAGAACGGTTCAACTACGCGTCCTTTGACTGCGCGGCGACGGTGCTCAAGACGAACCCGGAGTGCAGCGGGTCGTCGTCCGTGCTCATTGAGAACAAGGACAGCTATATGCTGAATGAGTGCCGGGCGAAGAACAAATTCCTGATCCTGGAGCTGTGCGACGACATCCTGGTGGACACCGTCGTGCTCGCCAACTACGAGTTCTTCAGCTCCATCTTCCACACGTTCCGGGTCAGCGTCTCAGACCGATACCCCGCCAAATTGGACCAGTGGCGCGAGTTGGGGGTCTACGAGGCCCGCAATACGCGGGAGGTGCAGGCCTTTGCGGTCGAAAATCCGCTCATCTGGGCGCGGTATGTGAAGATTGAGTTTCTCACGCACTACGGGAACGAGTTCTTCTGTCCGTTGAGCTTGATTCGCATCCATGGAACCACGATGTTGGAGGAATACAAGCATGATGGGGAGGCTAGTCCCGCAGATGATGAGGAGGAGATACCCGAAGAATCAACGGTGCCGGCTCCTATGGCGCCGGATTTCGAGGCTACAGTTACGGCTGAGGAAGCGCCTACTCCAGCGACTGCTGAGCCGGTCGACATTGTGTCGACCGGCGTCTCAGAAGATGAGGCTTGTCGCCAGTCTGGGTCGGACATGGATGTGCCAGAGCTGCGTGAGCTTCTGGGGCTTCTTGATACCTGTGACGACCAAGAAGCACCAGCGACTAGTGCTGGACCTGCAGTGGAAGCCCAGCCGCAGCCCTACCGATCTGTGTCAAACGAAGCGTCTCCATCCCAGGCGCAAGATGCCGTGGCTTCGGGAAAAGGCAAGGAAGCTTTGTCCGGAGAGCCAGGAGAACAAAAGGTGACGAGTGCGGCGGGATCAACTACAACGGACTCACCATCATCCTCAATGACTGTTGCGAACTCCGAGACTGCATCCCCTAACGCCGTAACGGAAGCGGACAACAAGTCTACTGTGCTACCAAAGGATGAACCCAGCAGTATAGCGGAACCGACCAGGTCGAGTATGACCCAGCCACCGTCGGCAAACCCAACTACGCAAGAGTCCTTTTTCAAGTCAGTGCACAAACGACTTCAGATGCTAGAGTCCAACTCCAGTCTCTCGCTTCAGTACATCGAAGAACAATCACGAATCCTGCGCGACGCCTTTGACAAGGTCGAGAAGCGGCAGCTGACGAAGACGTCGACATTTCTGGAGGGCTTGAATGTGACCGTGTTGAATGAGCTGAAGCAGGTTCGAGATCAATACGATCAGGTGTGGAAGAGCGTGGCGTTGGAGTTTGAGCATCAGCGCATTCAGTATCACCAAGAAATCCATTCGCTCAGTTCGCAGCTGGGCGTGCTGGCGGACGAGCTGGTGTTTCAGAAACGCGTGGCGGTTATCCAGAGCATGATGATTCTCTTCTGCTTTGGGCTGGTACTCTTTGCGCGGGGCACCGCGAGTGGGTACATTGAGATTCCTCGTGTGCAGAACATGGTCACGCGGTCGTACAGTCTGCGCTCTTCCTCGTCGCCGTCCCCTCCGTACGGCTCTCCGATGGTGAGCCCGACGTCAACGCGTGCGGCGTCTTCTTGCCGACGCACCGGCGGCGGCCATCGACGGAACCTGTCTGAAGACTCGCAGGACGAGCTTCTCAGCCCAACGCTGGCGTACTCGCCGCCCACGCCCGTTTCCGATGCGCTGAGTTCGGCCGAAGATGAGGATCCGGAACAGCGAAGAGGGAGTACCCTGGAATTGCCGGAGGTGGTTCCACCGGTGCAGCGATCGCGTAGCAGCCCACCTGATCTCCCGCGTGAGGGGAGCACCACCCCTGGATCCGAAGCGTCTCCCGTGGTAATCGTCGATGACTTGCCAGGGCGATGAATGCCTGGCTTGGGGTAGAACAGTGGCGAATAGAAGCGCAGGGATATGATAGGTGGCCGAGGAAGCTTATCGGAATTTCTGATTGTCTGTCCCTGCGTGTTTCCAGGTCAACTCCATCCTTTGCCTTTGCTGTTTGTGCGTCTGGATCTGTCTGTTTATTGGGCCGGCGTGGATTAGGTTGTTTGTATATTTGCATATGTATATCAGGACACGACACGATGATGACTAGACCACGTATAGCACCGTGTATTTTAATTCTAATTTGCTTAGAGGGGATGACGATCAAGGATGACTTGAATGCGTGCGTGAATGAATGAAGTAATGCTGGAAAATGATCTCATTGTGGTGGTTGCCATGCCAACAATCGACACGGTTTTTTTCCCGCTGGCCGGCCGCTGCTTATCCTTTTGAGCCTCCCTCTTTCTGCCTTCTCTGCCTTTCTCTGCCTCCACTCCACCACCACTCGAAGAACTTCCTCTCCAACGCGTTTATCAGACAACCCAGATCTCTCCTAACCCACTTCCTCCACAACACACACCCACCATTACCGCCATGGACGCTCAACCCTTGACCGACCGCTCCACCAACACGCACTTGGGCACTGCCGAGGAGACCGGCAAGCCGATGAACTCGATGGATTACCACCGCCAGAAGCTGCAGGGCAAGTTGGCCAGCGGAGAAAGGTATGTACACAATAAAATATGCCCCGGGTTGATTTGCTGTGTGATTGAACATGTTACTAACAAGGGAACGCGTGCAGTAACCAAGCCAGCTACGTGTCGCCCTCGGACGAACTCATGAGCCCTTGCTCGAAGAAGCTGAGCGACCTGAAGGGCAAGCGCTTCAAGAAGTATGTTTCTCTGTGATCTGTCTCTTTTGCTGTGCCAGATCCCTCAGCTATTTTGGGAGGATGAACTCAAGACTAACAGCGAGATCCTTCCATCCATTCAGTGCCGGCAAGCCCCAATCATTGTTCGCCAAACTGGGCAAGAAGAACTTCGAACAGTCGGCGGCGGCCGAGGCTCAGCGGGAGAAGGAGAATACCGAGAGCGCGGTCTAAGACTACCACTGCACCACCATAAGAGGATGTTGATGTTTATGGGGTAGAGACCTCTCTTTTGTGTCTTGTTCTCTCTCTCGCGCGGGTCGCCGGAGAAGAGATTTTCCTTTCCTTTTTTACCTTTATTTTTTTTTTCTTATTTTGACCTGGTTATCGTCTCGCCCCTTTGCTGGATGGCTCTGATAATCTTGGTTTTTTTTTTCTTCACGTTCGGGATTGTTTGTCATGCTTGGGATGAAATTGTTTTTTGTTTTTTGTTTTTTGTTGATAAAACTTCAACCATGGAGGGTTCAAAACTGGGAGGAAAATCAACCGAGGTTGGATTTGGGAAGATTACGGACGGGCAATGGACATGACTCTCTGGGGTTGGGTTGGTTGGACTTTGGAGCTGAGGGGATTCGTTATTATCATGATGACTTCTTTTTCTTTTTTTAATTCAATGGTTTGCTGATATGCTACTTTTCAATGGGTTTTTATGATATGATGTCCATGATTGAGTGTATTTCATAGTAGGATTGACCACCACCAAAACCCCCAAATCAGCCGAGGTCCCGATCGGCATCTTCTCCGCTTTCTGTCGCTCTCCGCATTTCCAACCTTTCTTCTAATAACTACTAGTTCTACTCCATCGTCTGATCCACACGCTTCCTTTCTTTTAATTCCAAGTCCATTCCTCTTGTCCCCTTATTCTTCACTCTTTCATTTAACCTAACCAAAGAACCACTCACCCAAACTCCAGAGAAGAACCACGCCATCAACAATGCCCGCCTCCACACGCATCCCCCCCATCGCCCTCCCCTTCGTCAGCGACCGCGCCAAGAAGACCCTGGATCTGGTATATCCCTAAGGCCCCTAAGGCCCCCAAGGCCCCCAAGGCCCCCATCCTCCCCCAGCTCAACCTCAGACTGCTAACACACCACAAACAGGTCGAAGAATTCGTCGAGAAGGACTGCATCCCCGCCGAGGCCGTCTTCCAGGCCCAACTGGGCCAGGGCGAGCAGCGATGGACCACCCACCCGGCCGTCATGGAGACCCTGAAGGCCCGCGCCCAGCAGCTCGGCCTGTGGAACATGTTCCTGCCCAAGAACCACTTCGCCCAGGGCGCCGGCTTCTCGAATCTGGAGTACGGGCTCATGGCCGAGTATTTGGGAAAGAGTCTGATTGCTTCCGAGGTAGGTCCCTCTTTTCTTTTGGGAGGAGTTGCTTTAGGGGTGAGGTTTGGGTTGAGTTGGATTGATGGATGGGGATGTGTTTCTCGTGCACCAAGAGTTGGAGAGAGTGATTTATGGCTAAGGCCAAGCTAACCCAGCCACCAAACTCAGGCAACGAATAACGCCGCCCCGGACACGGGCAACATGGAGGTCCTGGCCAAGTACGGCAACGAGGCGCAGAAGCAGCAATGGTTGACGCCGCTGCTGGAAGGCCGGATTCGGTCTGCGTTTCTGATGACCGAGCCGGAGGTGGCGTCGAGCGATGCCACGAATATCCAGCTGAATATTCGGAGGGAAGGGGATGAGTATGTCTTGAATGGATCGGTACGTTTCTTACTGTCATCATCACCACCACCACATGACCACAAACTGACTGTACCACCAATTAATAATAGAAATGGTGGTCCTCCGGCGCCGGCGACTCCCGCTGCGCCATCTACCTGGTGATGGGCAAATCCGCGCCCGACCACCCGGACCCCTACAAGCAGCAATCCGTGATCCTGGTGCCGGCGCACACGCCGGGGATCACGGTGCACCGGATGCTGACGGTGTACGGGTACGACGACGCGCCGCACGGCCACGGGCACATCAGCTTCGAGAACGTGCGGGTGCCCGCGGCCAACCTGGTGCTGGGCGAGGGCCGCGGGTTCGAGATCATCCAGGGCCGGCTGGGGCCGGGCCGCATCCACCACGCGATGCGCACGATCGGCGCCGCCGAGAAGGCGCTGGAGTGGCTGATCGCGCGCATCAACGACGACCGCAAGCAGACCTTCGGCCGGCCCCTGGCCAGCCACGGCGTCATCCTCGAGTGGGTCGCCCGCTCGCGCATCGAGATCGACGCCGCCCGCCTCGTCGTCCTCAACGCCGCCATCAAGATCGACCTCGGCGACGCCAAGTCCGCCCTCCGCGAGATCGCCCAGGCCAAGGTCCTCGTCCCCCAGACCGCCCTCGCCGTCATCGACCGCGCCGTCCAGGCCTACGGCGCCGCCGGCGTCTGCCAGGATACCCCCCTCGCCTACATGTGGGCCCTGATCCGGACGCTGCGCATCGCCGACGGGCCCGACGAGGTGCATCTGCAGCAGCTCGGGAAGCGCGAGAATCGCGACCGCAAGGCCGAGATCCGCCAGAAATTGGACTGGCAGCGCGGCGAGGGCGAGAGGTTGTTGAGCCAGTCCGGGTTGAAGATTAAGGGCCGGTTGTAGTTTTGGGTTCTCAGTTTGTTTGCTCTACTCGCATATTTGGTTAAGTGAAGTAGGTTGATACCTTTTTGCAAATACTCAGGAAAACTAGGAAGAACTCCATAGGGTTAAGGTATATCGGAAATGTATGTAAGATTTCATAGCCTCATTCCCCATGCACGAAGTAATAACGAAAACCCATAGACCATGATAACATAAACAAGAAGAAAACCGCAGACAGATGTAGTTTATACCGGGATATAAGAAATTAAGAAAGGAACCCCCACCCCACAGCTTTTGTGTTCATTTCATGATTCATCCAAATCCAATACCACAGACACACACAAGATCATCAACGTCCGCACTCGCCCGCGAGTCAACCAGAAGGCAAAAGGAAACAAAGCTGGAGCACCACTTAATAATCATCTTCAGTGGCACCGTTTTTGCGCACCTTCTTGGCCCGCTTCTTGTTGGCCTTGAAGTGTTTCTTCGAGTTCGCGCTGCGCACCTCGGAGACGTCCATGCCGCGCTCCAGGGCGACCATCATGCGCTCCTTGCGGCCGGTCAGCTGCTTGCGCATCTGCTGGCCCTGTTCGGTGTACTGCGAGTTGAAGGGGAGCATCATCTGGCCGCGGGAGGAGGAGGCGCCGGGGCCGAAGAAGCCACTGTCCAGGTTGCGGGCGAGCGAGCCCTGCACGGGCTGCTGCTTGGTGCCGGTGACGCCGAGGAGGGAGAGGGTCTCCGGGTCGACGTTGGCGCCCAGGGGGTCGGCTGCCATCATCTTGGCGAGCTGGGCCTGTCGGCGCTCCGGCAGGTGGGCCAGGTCGTAGAGCTCCTTGTTGAACTCGGCGGGGTCGATGGGCGCGCCGCCGTCGTCGACCGGGGGCGGGTGGCAGAAGAGGAGCTTGCCGTTGACGTAATCCTTCAGCACGTAGCGGGCGGCGCGCGACTCGTCGGGCTGGCCCAAACCCTGCGTGGAGAAGCCGCGGGCGCGGGCGTAGGCGCGCAGCACCTCGCTGCCGGTCGGGGTACCCGTGCCGCCTTCCTCAACGGAGCGCATGAGGATCTTGACGCCGTAGACGTTCTCGAGGAAGTGCTTGGGGATGCGCTGGGCGACGAGCGAGGCCGGCCCCGTGAACTCGCGCTGCTGGTCGATGGGGAGGACACCGTTGACCACGAGGTCGGCCTTGGTGGTCGCGAAGTTGGGGAACACCAGACCGGGACAATCGCACAGCATGATCTCCGGCGACAGGTACAGCGTCTGAAAGTGCTTGGTCTTACCGGGGGTGGCCGAAACGGACACCTTCTTGGCGCCCAGGAGCGCGTTGATCGTGCTGGATTTACCCACGTTGGGGTATCCGACCAGTCCGATGGTCGTCTTCCGCTTGATGGGCTCGCCGTCGGCCGTGTTGTTGTCGGGCAGGGTGTCGGGCGTGTTGGACAGGAAGAGCTCCTCCAGCTCGTCCACGTTGAGAATCTCCGTTCGCTTGCTGGCAGACGAAGAAGGCAGCTCCAATCCGCCGTCATGTTCTTCCCGCTGCGCTTCGCCGTCCTGAATGTTCATGGCCTGGGTGTTCTTCGCCAATTCCTGCTCCTGCTGCTGCTGCTGCTGCTCCTCATCAGATTCGCTGTCGCTCTCCGATCCAGACCCTTCCGCGAGGAGACGGGCCTCGTTCTGCTCCTTGGCCAGGTGCGCCGAGAAGAACCGGAAACTGATATTATGGCGATCGAAGTAGTCCGCCCACATGACCCGCTGCTTCTCCGTCAACATATCGGCCTTGTTCACCAACAGCAGGTTCTGCTTCCGGGGGTCGAGCTCTTTGACGTAGGCCTCGAGATCCTCCGAGCGGAAGTGCAGGGGATTCCGGGCGTCGACGATCTGGACGACGAGGTCGGAGCGCTCGATGACGCGCCACAGCTGACGCCAGACCTCCAGGTTGCGCTCGAAGGGGGTCATCAACAGGTCCTGGTTCTCCTGCAGCTCGGCCAGGCCGCGGCGCCAGGACAGGAAGCTCTCCTTCTCCAGCTGCTCCAGCTGCTGGCGGGTGGTGGAGGCGTCCCACTGGGGGCGGCGCGGCACGGTTAGCCGGCCGCGGTTCTGGCGGTGCTTGGTGATGGCGGACTTCTCCTCGGAGGCGGACAGCAGGTAGGGGTTCTTCTGGTCGGCGTGGATGATCTTGACGTTGTTCATCTTCTCGGCGGTGAAGTCGGTGCCCGCCAGCTCGGCGGTGCTCAGGAACTCGTCCAACGCCGCCTGCTCGGTGATACTGCGCATCTTGACCCACGAGGCGTCCTGCTGCGCGTTGGTGACGTAGGTGTCGCCGTTCATGTCCTTGCGGACGATGCCGGCGTTGTGCGAGGCCTTCTTCTGGTTCGAGGCCTTGCCTTTGCCGAACCGATCCTTCATGAGGCTGTTGCCCAGCCCCACGGCGTTCTTGGATTTGGCCAACACCATGGTGGCGAAGGGTGACTGCGGAGCAGTTCAGAGGAGGGAGATAAGGGAGAGGAAGGAAAGGAAAGAGGTGTAGAAGGAGAGGGAGGGTAAAGGGAAAAAGAGAAGGGCAAAAGGGTAGGGGTAGATGTAGTTGAGGAGGGGGAAGATTAATTGCAGGATGATTTGTAAAGGTGAAGAGAAAAGAAGAATTAATCCCACTTGCGGGTTTTGGCCCAATCAGATTTGCCCCGCGCGGATAAGATAAGGCTGACTCAGCACTGAGCTGTTTTTCCCCTCTTTTTTTTTTTTTTTTTTTTATTTTTGTTCTCTGCAGCATCGGCAACCGGAGTGGAAGTCGAATGCTGAGAAAAGCAGACCGAAAGTTCAATTGGAGGATTGAGTCGACATCAACATCTCAAGACCAGTACATCTCCTGTAGTCTACAACGTGTGTTTGTATAGAGCCCATCGCATTGCGCACCCACCGGGTCCTCGATAAGCACACCCACGTGACTTTATCTCCCCCACGAATTTCTTGAATTTTCGCCCAACGCCCAAAGCTGCATCTTTCGATTATTCTCCAATCATCCCAATTCCAACGCTTGTCCTCGGACGACCTACCGCTAAAAATGCCTCCCCGGAAGCAGTGGATGTAAGTCTTTCTCCCCCTGTATGGGACTGGTTAATCCCAAGCACTAACCCACCAATTTCCAGCGACAAGAAAAACGCAACCACCTACCAACTCTTCCACCGCTCCCAACATGACCCTCTCATCCACGACCCCGGCGCCGACGACCGCGTGCTCGCTCCGGTGTCCGGCCCTGCCCCTACCAACGGCAGCAGCGCCGCCGCTGACGCCCACCGGGGCCAGAACCTGGCGACGCTGACCCAGCAATTCGGCCCCGGCGCCGTCCGCAAGAACGAAGGCGAGGCGGCCAACTACGGCATTTTCTACGACGACACCAAATATGACTACATGCAGCACCTGCGGGAGCTGGGGACGGGCGCCGGGGACGCGCACTTCGTCGAGGCCAAGAACAACCAGGCCGCCTCAGGCAACAACAACAAGGGCAAAATGAAGCTGGAGGATGCGCTGCGGCAGGTGTCGCTAGACGACGGGCAGGGTAGTGAGTTCGGGGGTAGCTACGCGCCCAGCGAGATGCGGTCGACGGCGACGGCGTTCTCGCGGAAGCCCACCTACCAGGACCAGCAGAACGTGCCGGATGCGATCGCGGGCTTCCAGCCGAACATGGACCCGCGGCTGCGCGAGGTGCTGGAGGCGCTGGAGGATGAGGAGTACGTCGACGAGGCGGACGATGACGATCTGTTCGGGCAGCTGACCACGCGGGCGGAGGAGATGGACCAGGGTGACTGGGAGGATACGCTGTACGATGATTTCGACGAAGAAGATGATGAGGGGTGGGAGTCGGACGCGACGGAGAAGGCGCCCGTGCAGACGGACACGACGGCCGCCAAGGCGCAGTACGAGAAACGAGCTGCAGCCGGGGCCGGCGGCGATGCGGAGGAGATGATGCCGGAACATGACGCCCCGGCGCCGGACATGCACCCCGAGGATCAGGGCTGGATGCGCGAGTTCGCCAAGTTCAAGAAGGACGTCAAGGCCGGCGTCGCCAAGCCCGCCGTGCCCGCCGCCGCCCCTAGTGTCGTGCCCTCCGAGCAGCAGAGCACGCTGGCGTCGACGGTGTTCACGGTCGGCGGCACGCCGATCCGTCGCAAGAAGCGCAAGGGTGCCCTGACGAACCCCTCAGCGTACTCGATGACCTCGTCGGCCCTGGCGCGCACCGAGGGCCACCGGCTGCTGGACGATCGCTTCGATCGCGTGGAGCAGCTGTATGCGCTGGACGAGGAGGATGAGTTCGACGACAGCATGTCCATGGTCAGTGGCATGACCGGCATGACTGCCATGACCGGCATGTCGGCCATCTCCGAGGCCCCCAGTCTGGTCGATGCCAACGGGCAGACGGTCAACCCCCGCCACAACTTCACCTCGGTCATGGATGACTTCCTCGCCGGCTGGGACGACAACACCGGGTCCCAGGCCAAGCGCAAGGGTGTCAAGTACAAGCGCGGTAAGCACGGCAACGAGGCCATCGGCATCCGCATGCTGGATGAGGTGCGCCAGGGTTTGGGTCCGGCGCGTCTGGGATCCTCGGGACGAGTCCCTGGACGGGCGTAAAGTAAGGTGGTGGAATTATAGGGGGAGGAATGAGGGGCCGCAGGGCGATTTTTCTCTCATGGCTGCTACTTCGTGTGTGTGTGCACATGCTTTCAACGATTGCGACGATACCTTTTACCCATGGCATGTTCTGGCTGGAAAAATAAAAGATTTGTGGGCTTTCTCTCACATAAGGCGTCTCGGTTTACGGTTTTGTTTAACTTTTTCCCACCTTGCATGGTAGATAGACGTCAACACAAAAAGTCTTCATCAGTTGCTTTTCACACAGACCCTAAGAAATGGCCGGATGCATACAGAGGCAACACACCCGCATAATAGTTCATGTAATCATTATACAGTGGACGACATCATTTATACATATACATACATCAAGTGCCGAAAAGGGGGTATACAAAAAGTCTATCATCTCTAAAAAGCCCCTCCCACCTTCTCAGTGATCCACATGGCCAGACGAACCTTCCAGCTCACCCGCCGTTCCGTGCGCCGCAGATCCTCCCGAGAGATGGCCTTGGAATCCTTCTGCAGCCAGTCCGTCTCGGCGCCGAGTCGGCGTTTGAGCGTCTGGTTTCCCGTAACGACCACCGCACCCA